GATTCGATAAGTGTGGGGAAGCAGACGCCATGGCAACAACAGCCACGCCTACACTATACCAGCCTACATTACTGCGTCATAAGCTCGTGACTTTTCTCGGATACAGGTGTTGAAAAGAGATCAGGTAATTAAAACTGGTTAGTCCAGGAGTACTTTCCAGTTATCAAGTTATAGGGCCAAATAGGGTCACCAGGAAAAGTTTTCAACACGCCAAATGGAGCGTGAAATTGAACTCATTCACGACCAATGTGGTTTCCGTGGCCATGCCTAGATAGTCATTTTGTTGAGCTTTCTCTGCCGGCACTCTTGTATTAGTTAGAGCCGTATTGAGAGACCTAGTTAGGCACGATTTTGACACATATTCTCTGATATGACAAACAATACTTAAATTATGGTAGAGTCTTATCGGCGACAATTACCTAGTTTGCGTCAGTTGCCGTCGTTCCCTGCGCGCGCGTCCTGGCAGCGCTCATGTAGCGCGCACCCTGCTTCATAGAGCACCCCCTAGGGATTTCTCAAAAGAATTACTGAAATTTATATCCAACAATTATCGCTGTTCGTGCGATTGGGACTAATAGAGACCATTCTTATGTGCAATGATGAAACCGTGAGGTTCTTATCCAAGGCACCTTTATCCGTGATTAGGATTGATACGCCTGCAGGACAGCATTCAGCTCCCTCGAGCAGACGCTGCGGAGTTCTTATTCCAGAAAAGTTGCGCTAAGTTCTCTAAGCCTGCAGCGCACGAACCGAGCCCAACGGACGCCGCCACAATATTGACGACCGTACTGATGCTTCTTCATTGCGAAGCACAATTTATAAAGTTATGAAATTTTTGATATGAGGCGGCTGCCGATACTGCATGGTGCTACCTCGTCATACCGCTGATTAGGGTCGGTCGGTCAACGGCGCAGACTGCTGTGCAGGATATATTTGCTTTTTCCAGGCTAATTTAGTCATTTTTCAACTTTTCACTGTTTTGGCTACTTTTTCCCAGATTAGCAGCTCCTTATCTTCACAAGGTGGAAAATATGACCTAAATTGCCTGGGAAGAAATCAGTCTGGCATCGCGTTGCGCCCGTTGACGACTTTGCCTAATCAACTGCGCCGGATCGATCTTTATATGAGGGAAGACGGTCAAGAGAATCGCAATTTGCCGCTCACCGTGAGCGGCAGCGGGCGCGGCGCTTTCTTAATTTGTGTTCCTGCCGATTGGAGTACCGTATTTCACATGGGCTGCGGAACCGAGCTATATTTATGGCTACTAGTAGATAGATAAAGCCGTATCTACCGTCGCGCTTATTGGCACGATGCCAACGGGAATCTTCACCCGAACCGAAACTGCTTTCTGAGTCGTGAGGAACATACGGTTTTTGCACGTTTCTGGGCGTTTCACTTCGCCTTCTCGCCGTTTTCAAGCTATATAGCACCCCCGCTACCATTCCAGACCAACTTGTCAGATTACCGTGCCTTATACCTCCAATACTGTGCTCGTAAAGATGAGACTGATTATTCATCAGTACTGATTCGGTCCACGTATCAGCATTGGAAGGGGTGTGTCCACGGACATGGTTGTTTGCGCAGGTGCGGTTGACAGTTGCCCGCTCAGCCAAGGAAGTAGACAGCGTTTGCATGAGAACAGAGGCACAAGAAAAAAGCCCATGCAGCCTCATTTTTCCTGTCTGAAATGGCGGCCGTCCACTGCCATCTGTCTAGTAATCAAGTCTGCTGACAATCTTCTTCTAAGCCCGAGATGTAAAAACATCCATTCAAATCTATCGCTCCAAATTGAAGGTGATGTAGCAAGGGACGAAGGGACGACTGGCATGAAATCACTTGAAGACGGCAATATAGGAATTTTTATTATGTATATACACAAAAGTGAAATTTTTCTGTGAAACTGTTTCAATTCGCATTGCAGATTGCGATACCTGAAAAATTTCCGGATCACTACCAGTTCGCATTCTCTTTCTCTTCCCGTTTTATAGGGTAAGGAAAGTCTTCGCCGTTGATCAATCCCTTTGTGGGATGCGGCACGCATTCTACTTCCATTCAGAATCGTAGTGGCTTATTGAATGCGATGTGGCCTATACAATGACTTGCGGGCCAGCCGATGTACAAGTCAGTGTTCTTATCCTCCCAGACGAATCTGGTACCTATTTATCGTCTAATGAGGGGGAGGGGGGAAGGGTAGGGGGAGGGGGGGGTGGAAAGGCTTGATTCTCATAAGGCCAATCCGAGACTTGATATCTGGACCGCTTGAAAAGGTGCACTGGTCGAAACCGTGGTAGGCGTGCCACTTGCCACTACACCACTCCCGCCTCTTCGAGTTTTTATAGGCGCAAAGAGCATCAAATGATGTGATGTCCAATCGAATGCTTCCAGAGGGGCGCTGAATTGCTCTTCCGGATTTTTCTTCAACTATTTCAAAAAAGAATCAATCTAGTGCACATTCTACCCTGGTCGTATCGGATGAAGTCACTTTGGCCAGTCCGCCATCCTCATTGAAGCAGCCCCCGTCTCTCATTTCAGAAGGATAGGGCCACCAGTGAAAAGAGTCACACCCGCTCTTGAGACTGGAGGAAAGGAGCGGGTCATACCATTCACTGCGATTTCGACTTCTATTAGTTTTATCGTGAAATTTATGGAGTAACTCATTGGTGGGGATTCATTGAGCCACCTAGTGGGTCTATTGGGTTTACTGGGTGAGTCAAAAGGATACAGTAACCAATGGAACAAAGTGTCAAGCATACCTTTATTTATAATAGATCCCTCTTCTTTCTAATGACCACCAACTGCTTCTCTGGATGGCCGTTCATGTGACCCAACCATATACTAAAATAAAATAGCTAGGGGAAGTGTGAACGTTTACAGGGGTACATCATGTATTTAGGCTTTTTGCGTTGCGTCCTATTGCGAAGGCCCTGTGCGACCTGCAGATAGCTTGCCCAAAGAAAAGGAGCCTCGGTGGGTGGGTCATTTGTCCTTTGAGTTATGCCGTATTACACTGATAACAGAACGCGCTGTCTCGTTGGGGACTAAAGCGCGTATGGCGATGACGTACTGCAATGTTCGCGACTTTGCTTGTTACTGTGAAAATGGAGAAACGGCAGCAGAAGAGTAGAAAACTGATGCAATTATAAGCCAACCGAGTTTAGCAATGCCCGGCGTTGCGCCCACGCCGCAAACTTGACCCTCACAGCAACAATAAGTAGACTGAGCACTTCCGGCAACACTGTCGTAACTAAATGCCGCGCGATGCTGTCGCGCAAGGTGAGCGGCGAAAACACGCCAAGGCGGAGTATGAAAACATTCTACTGAATATTTCGCGATTCACGGCGAAGAGTAGGCTATCAAACGTTATCTCATCCGCTTTGTTTAACTTCTAGATCACCTGGTTTTAATTTCATGGGTCTTATTGTTAAAAACCAAGAAAAAGAAGACGTTACATGGAACCCTGCAACGGCCGCCAAGGACTTGAGCTGCAGCATGCATCTGCGAATAGCTGGGCAATCGATTATTCGATTGGTTAACAATCGAGAAAGACGGAATGGGTAGCGGAGGATATAAAGGAGTGAGCACGGAGCACAGTAAGGCACGTCGTCGCATTCAATTAATTACGAGTCCCCCCCCCTCAATCAGGGCATGCCATCGCGTTGTGATCGTTTCCTGAAAAATACGACTTCCCTTCTCCTAATTCTATCTTCGAATACGACCCTACCACCCTGCTCCCCATGCTACCTACACTTTCCTAGATTTTCCCAACTTCCTACCACTTTTTCCATTTTTTCCGGAAAGTTTCCAGCTATTCGCCGGAATTTTTCCCACGCGGGAAGAGGGATATATTACACAGTGTGAAACAGGGAAATTTCAACGAAACCAGTTTCTGTCCGAAACTTCACTTTTCAGCTTTTTCCCCAAATTTTGTGTTGGGGGTGGGGGGCCGGGCGGGTCGTCCAGGATTAACTATCATATTTCAACTACCCCCGGAATAGTAAGTTGGTGTAAGATGCTTATTGGCACGTCTCTCCACAAGGGCGCAAATTACGAAGCGCCCCACCCTCCTCGCGATAAATACGACCCACCCCTCCCCTCGTTGGATCATCACAACGATGGCGCGCCCTGCAGTCAATTTCCTATGAATTCTCTGATACCAACCCTTTTTCCATCCTGTCTACCATCTTGCCTGAGTTTTTCCGTCGAGGCGGGAGCAAGACGGCCGTCGACCAAGATTAATCGATAGCCAGCAACACCATTAGTTGGAGATTTGGTGCGAGCGCCGCGTACCGACCCTTCCCTAAGGGGGGGGCTTGAGTTCCCTACTCATCGAGCTGTCGATGCGTATGAAACAGGAAAAAAATCATGAAAAAGTTCACAAACGCTCCTATTGGAGAACCTAAAATGCAAGTACGACCCCCTCGAACAACGGACAATCAGGATGTCCCCTCCCCTTTAGGAGTCACTCGCAACAAAAGAAGAATGAATTATCGAAAGAACTTTTTTCCCAGACCAAATACGATCCCCCAAATCTCCCTGACACAGAAATTTTGCCGCCAGCTTGAGAAGGGGATTGGTGTAAAGCGTGCTTGGAACAGGAGATTCAGCAAACAGAAAAAAAAAATCGTAAACCGGCCTAACAACGACTCTCTTCTCGTCCAAATGCTCCCTTTCCTTTCCTCTCGCAACGGCAAATGCTCCCTTGTCTTTTACAACGCGGACGGTGGTGTCTCTGGCGATAGTGCAGATGGATTAAAGGGCTGAATAGGGCTCCGGCACCGCAGAGCCGGATACCGACGATATAAACAGGGCTCTAGTTGAAAAACAGGGAGGTCCGTGGCGGCACAGGAAATTATCAGCGCGGGAGTCGGAAGGGGGGGGCGTATTTTGCAGAACTCGCTACCTAAATAGCGAGACGACATAGTGCCGACGTGCGTGGTTGAGAATAAAGGATTAGCAGTATACCTCTGCGTGCGACTCTCGTCCCGGCCGAACGTTTTTTCTCAGCGGAGTTGTTTTACTTTCTCAGCAGATAGCCTTTCCTTTTTGACCTGATTCTGAGGAGGTAGCTGGCAAGCATCCACGTCGTGCTAAACAGGATGACAACGCTCAATTGATGATGAAAGTGGTACATTGGTAACAGGAATGAACCGCAGACAAAAATTCGGACCGCAGGCTTGGACCGAATAATATACCTTCTTATCCATATCCTGTGGATTGGAAGGGCGTGGCAGCTTACTTCATACGAGCATGGCATAGAATGCGTCTTTCGGGGAGTAATTCCATTTGGGACAACTAATCACCCTCTCTGAGATGCCGAACAAAGGTACTATTACAGTTGTCCCAAAACAGCAGGTTTCCCACCGAAACCACAGACGACGTCGCTTTCAGACGAAGCTTACGGCCACACCCTCCCTGCCTCCTGATATGAAGTAGCTTCAGTGAGTACATAGAATCATAGACCTCGACCTGAACCTTCCCCAAATGAGAGGTGTCTCTCATCCTCCCTATTCCCTATTCCAGTGCTGGCCAGGAGGCTATGGAAGAAGATTACATAGGATTACAACAAGAGCTGAGAGGGATCTCCCACCTGGAGAATGGTGTAGGATCTCGGGCAGTGCTACTGATATTCAGCCTGTGGATAGCGGATTTCATCAGGGGTAAAGAGTGGGTTGTGGCGCTCCAATGAATCGCGAGAATATTGGAGGGCAGGATTTAAACCTCTTTAGGTTGCGGTTGATACCCATGCGGAGCGTAGCAGCAGCGTCCACACAGCGACCACTGCGCGTTCGAAGCGTTTAGGCAGGCGTCAGCGCTAAGAGATATATACATCGATCTAAGCGTCTATCAGCTGTCTACTTGGCGATCCGCCACGTTCATTACAGGGGCGCGGGGGTCCGGCAGCGTTCAGCGACTGGAAAGGTATCAGACGAGTCGTATCTAGCGTCTGCCCAGCTAGCGTCTGCCAGCGTTCATTACAATCGTGCCAGCGTCCTGGCGAGCTAGAAAGGCATAGGTAATGGTCTAAGTTTCTAAGCGTTTACCAGCGTCCTATCAGTCGTCCTATGAGGCGTTTCGTCAGTGACCCCAAGAGTAAAGAGAGTATGGGAAGAGAAGGAGTAGCCAACACCTGGTTATAGGCACAGAGAAAATTGAGGGGCGTGGCAACCGCACGCGCAGAATGTGGCATTCCATTAGAGTGTAGTGTAGTGTGCGATGCGGTTGCCAGCACGCCCGTAATTTCAGCGAACGCCTAATCCAGTTTGTTTGCTACGCCCCTACTTCCCCAAACCTCCACGTACGCGTCGCCAGGTTAACAGTGGGACGCTGGCGGACGCTAGAAGATACCGCATAACTTCCCCAGCCGTAAAAAGCTGGGTCGGGCGATGCAGGCGGTGGTAGGTGTTGGCAGATGCAATCGATATCTATACCTTTCCTAGTCCGCGGACGCTGCCGGACGGTCGGAACACTGGTGGCCGCTGCTGGACGCTAGCGCAAAGCATGGATAGAGCCTTATGACTGTGCCCAGCATTTTTTCAGTTTGATCTGAATCGGGAATGAGGAGCCTACACTTCAAGTTTAAAGCACCGTGGAATACATCGATTACTCCCTCAGCTTAAAGACACAATGGTACGCTCTGTACACTTGAGGGTATGTAGAGACAATCAGCTGCCCCAGAATGGTCGATGTGTCGTGGTCCCCCCCCCCGCACAAACATGCCCAGGAATGGAGATACAGGACCGTGAAACACGCTAGTTCCTCCATGCTCCGCCTTACACCTTTTGCGGCGCAGATTCCCGTCCTTCATAACATCCGTTGCAAGCGCGCGTGTCGCGTGCGGCTCCTTGGCACTTTGCCAAGTCCTTTAATTGCGCTCTCAAATACAAGTAAAACGCAATTTCCTGATGCGGATAACATTGGAGGTGCTACAAAATAAGAACAGAAGATGATGACGAGGGCCAGAACTCAAGAGCAACTCGGCTGCATCTGCAGTATCCATCAGAGGCCGCGCATTCCCACAAAACATGAGAATAAAAACAGCAGCGTCCTAGTCGTTTGTTAATAAGTATTTGTATGGGCTCTGGCGGCCGCAGGAGATCGTAGGAAATTTACAGGCCAGTTTATCTAATTTGCCTTTCCTTGATTTTTTCATTTTTGTTTTGTTTACATTTACATCGTTGTGCTTCATTTCTAGCCTGTGTCATCTTCATCTCCTTGTACATGGATTTTGAAGTATGAGCAACACCTAAAATTTTATTCGCATCAGGAAATTGCGTTTTGCTTGTATTAAACTAACGAGTATGCCGTTTTTATTTTCATGTTTTGTGGAATGCGCGGCCTGATGGATACTGCAGATGCAGCCGAGTTGCTCTTGAGTTCTGCCCCTCGTCATCATCTTCTGTTCTTATTTTGTAGCACCTCCAATGTTATCCGCATCAGGAAATTGCGTTTTACTTGTATTTGAGAGCGCAATTAAAGGACTTGGCAAAGTGCCAAGGAGCCGCAAACGCGCAGGCGCGCTTACGACGGATGTTATGAACGGCGGGAATCTGCGCCGTAAAAAGGCAGTGGGCGGAGCATGGAGGAATTAGCGTGTTTCACGGCCCTGTATCTCCATTCCTGGGCATGTTTGGGCGGGGGGACCACGACACATCGACATCTGGGGGGCTGATAGTCTCATACACCCTCAATGTGTATGAGCGTACCATGTGTCTTTAAGTGGCGTAGATGATAAAAATGTAGCTCATTCAGCAGACAGGGAAGGATAGAAAAACGTTAACTCAAAATAGATATCGTGAAAACGAACCATTTGGGTTTTGGCAAGCGGCAACCACTCCCTCGATCTGAATTCATTGGATTTCCGATAGGGGAACGATTTAGCGGCAGCGGACGGTTTTCTTCGCTCATCAATTGACGGTTTTCTTCGCTCATCATTTGATCTTTGAGTTCTTTCGACCGGAGGGAGCCGTACCTTGAAGGCATGGGTCTGATTCTGTGTCGCTGCCAAATAATGTACTACACAACGTACCGGTGCTTCTTTATGAACCTTTCCTGCATTAACGTGAGCACCGATGTCAACCTCATTGCTGTTTCCTGGACTCATTCCAGGACAAGTCCCCTTGGTATAAGGTGTACGTACTGGTTCGACCTCTTTGGCATGAGGTGTACGTAGTGGTTCCTCCTAAAACCATGTTATATCGATCGTCATATTCTATCCTTTTCACTGTGCGCTTGCTGCAAAAACAATGAAATCATTCAAACTCAATATCAAACAATGAAGGCTCGGAAAGGCGCCTCTGTTCATGGATATGGTGCATTACTATCGTTTTATGGGTGCGAGTGAATTCGTGCGAAAACTGAGACGGGTCGCGCAGTTATACAGTAATATTAGCTACTTCGCTCATTGATTAAACAGGATTACAGATGTGATGGCTTCGAACTTTCCGACTTGGGAGTTTGTCACCAAGGTCGAACTCAGCGTTTCTACCGTTAACACGTCATGAAATAAGAGCAGTGAAGGTTGCTTGACGCGTTGGATTGCGAGGTTTGGTAACCCAGTGCTGCACCAGCGCTTGCTCACAGCCGCAGCTCGTAATCGGTCCCCTTCAGTATGTTGGTAAAGTCCTTCGGAAAAACAACGACATCAAGCCTGTGCCTTAAAAGGTATGGTCCGCGATCAGGTATAGAAGTTGAAAATATGGCGTTGGAGGGTAATGTGGTCTGCGATGAACAACCTTGTACCGGTTTCGCGGCAAAAAATTGTAAGGGAGGGGCGCTATAGCGCAATATAGGTTCAGTGACGCCTCCTTTTTTCCAGTGACTCCGCCAGAATCCACCTTCAAGGCCCGTCTTCCAGTGAAAAATGAAACTGTAGGACGAAGAAGCCTGAAAAGCGTCACTTGTACGGTCGAAGTATAACCCGTTCTTCTCTTGGACTTGTTTGGTCTCCCTATAAATTCCAGCTGGCCATGGTAATGGGTGGACTGATCCACGCCTATTTTCTACTAGACGAGCGCAAATTGAGTGCGACAGCCTCTACCGGCTCGACCCAAGTACCTTGGAGACAATTCCCGCGATCAAGGGTTACGCTTAGTGGGTGTTCTGATATGAATCAAAAGCCGACAAATGACTCCCTACTAGAGAAGGAGAGCAAAAGAAACTTTGAGAACACCCATAACTCCCCCCCCCCTGACAGTCACACAGCCTCGCTGCACGTGTTCTCCACACTTGCCGGCCAGAGTTGACATCCTGCAGCCTCTGTGCAACCTCCAGCTCACAAATCGCTTCTAAGCATTCTTCAGTATTAAAGGGCATACAGTACTAGTTACTAGTTTACTAGTACTTTTACTACTAGTTTACTTGGGACAAAAACGAAAAACGAAAGCGAAGCGGAAAATAGCGTTCAAAAAATTGTAAACGAAATTATGAAAAGGTTAGTAATGCACGACGAGCTTTTGCACCAACTCAATTGCATCACCACTGAATTCAAGCATCGTTAAAACGCATTCTTGCTCTGTTCCCCTTTTTCGAGTGATGAATGTGGTACACTCTCTGCGAGTGAACTGCTACTGCTTGCTTGGTTTCAGTAAAGGTACCCAGGCAGAGCAGAACAACTCGTGAGCTCATAAAGAGTCGACGAGAAGATTCTCTCCGAAGGGCATGTGAAATTGTCCTACGATGCTGCAGGCAACAGAATGCACACACGTAATTCACCGTGTAAGTCGGTATGTTGCAGGATGAAAAGATCAAAGCTTAGAACAGTCAGTATGCGTCCACATCGTCTCCCTACACGCTTTGATCCGTTGATAGGGTAACCCAGCAAACAAGTTTTGCATTTGCACGGGGCTCAAAAAAGGAGTTGGAGTTGCCAGTTCGACACTGCTGAAGGAATAAAGTAAATCGCCCAATGCCCTGCACTAATTTCCCTTTTGGACTTATCGTTCTAGTAGAGATATAGTTGATGTAGGGAGATATTAAAAAGGCGAATCATATTTTTCTGACAACCTTGTGGATAACTGGTCCGCCCTGCTGTCCTCCTTTTCCATTCGGCTGAAGAAGTTTCTGCTGAATAAGTGGATCTGCTAGTATGATTCTCTCGTCGTGGCGACGGATTTCAAATCTGTCATGAAATGGCTCAAAAGTTAGATGTGAGGTTGCATTAGACGTTATCTGGTGAAGAGAAAAGCCAGGCTTCTGGAAATTGCGGTGACACGTTTTTTGTAGGGCAAAGCGCCGTCGAAGCGACTTAGCAAGCCACCACCGTCCTTTGACTCCGTCACGCTGATGGGTCGTGAAAGGGGTGAGAAAGGAGCTAGAAAGAGGGGGCGAGGGGAGAGGGTGGCGGAGGAGCGGGGACTGGCTTGGGACGCGGCGTCCTCTCACCAACCAGTCTTGTGAACTGGTTACCCACAATTGCTGGAAACGGCTGAGTGTGCGCGACGTTCAGAGTCCTGGCCACGCCCAGCGTCGCAGCCGAATAAGAGAGGCCAAGAGGACAAATCTCCGACGAGATCAACCTTTTGTGGACGTGACACGGCATTCTCGCATAAGTGACGTGCCTACGAATGCCATGTGGCATCGACACTGACTCGCAGGAGCCAGCCGATGTACAATTCAGTATTCTTCCCAGGAATTTGGTACCAATTTACCGTCCTCGGAGGTTCAGACGGTTCGGTTGGCTTGGGTAGGAGTCGATCTAGGATTTGTCACTCGAATTACGCGCGTGATAAGCATGCCACTTGCAACTACATCAGCGTCCAATCGTCTCAGACAGTCCTTCATCATTTCAGAGCACGCCCACTTTACTGGCCTACCTACTACCTTCGAACTTTTCCTTGACTAAGTAAAAAGGATGTGAAATCGCCAATATGAACGAAGGGGGGGGCAGTTTGGCGACCGGGAAAGGAGGGCATTTTGCACTTACTACTTCCCATCAATGTGTCCCCCATCTAACAGCCTTTTTCTTGAGTTGACAAGGTTTTGGCATAATGTTCGCTGACACAATGCTCAGCTTACAAAAAGTTCAAGCAGGTTTCACGCAGAGTAAGGACTTGAAAGCGGACTTATGAAGCAGCGACAAGCGCAATGCGTCTCACCCCCTCCCCCCCCCAGCCCCTCCCCCCAATAGCCCGAACTCCATCAACGAGTGAGAGCTGAGCTTTCGATTTCCATTCCCTAATTTTTTCAACAGTCCAACCAACCTTTGGTGTTCTTTCTTGCGGTTGGACAAGGTGAAATCCAGTGAATATCAAAGGAGAGCGATGAGAGCGATTTGGTGCTGTCGTTCTACTGGAACTTGTTTTTGCGTGGCTGGAAACTAATTCATTTTTATCAAGTGCTGAATTATGGGCGAAAAACTTAACTCCCCCCCCCCTCTTAGAGCGCTTCGCCTAGCGCTCGCCTAACGCTCTTTCAAGTGTCAGATCTTTTGTCATTTTTCAGGTTTTTTTTTGCCCATAACTTGTCGTTCTTGTGATGACCTTCGGAGAGCGCTCCAAAGCTTCAAACGGCAGCTATTACTCATCGCAAGTTCACTTCGAGTTCACCGACTTCCGATCAGATTGGAGTTTTGTACGGTTAGAGTTAGATTCTGCAGAGTTAGAGAGTAGAGTTCCAGGTGCGCATCATTCCTATGTGGCAAATTACGTGACCATCAGCTAGCCAGTTCCTGATTAGCGCTGGTGATACTACAATTGCTATCGTTGCAATCCGGCAGAGCGCGCTAAGGCTGCGTTCATACTTTGCGGCAGCGTCCACCAGCGTTTCAAGCGTCCGGCAGCGTCAGCGACTGGGAAAATATAGATACCGGTCCAGTGCACTAGTCTACCAGTTGGTAGAGTATGGCGCGCTAGGAAGGTAGCTAACTGCTGGTATAGAGTATGGAGCGATAGGAGGATACCAGCTGTCTGCTGCACTCCTATCGCGCCATACTCTCCTCTCCCGGACGATGGTGCCCGCTGGCAGACGCTGGGAGTTGCATGATCGATAGCTGTACCTCCCTAGCCCTTGAGCTGGTGGACGCTGGAAGACGCTGTCAGATGCTCGGAACACTGGTGGACGCTATTGGTCGCTGATGGACTTTGCCACAAGGTATGAACGCAGCCCAACTAAGCCTCCACACTTTTCATGCACCCATACAACCGTGACGTAAACAATCGTTGTGGTCCTGTGGTAGTGCACGCCGCCTCTTACTGCCGACATAACGCCAAATTGAAGCGCCTGAAGCTCAGGGCGCAGGTAGGTATCGGAAAAGCGCATCAACTAGTATTTCCTACCAGTTGAAATGAAATTCTTCAGAACTTCCACGCTACGTGATTCCACCTGTTGCATACATGGCGCTGGCAGCAGCCCGTTAAGCTGCGTTCATACCTTGCGACAGCGTCCACTAGCGTTTCGAGCGTCCGGCAGCGTCAGCGACTGGGAAAGTATAGATATCGATCTAGCGTCTGCCAGCGTGCACCAGCATCACCCAGCGTTCGCCAGCGTCCACCAACATCCACCAGCGTCTTGAGAGCCTGGGAAGTACTGGGAAGTATAGGTATCGATCTAGCGTCCATCAGCGTTTGCCAGCATCTACCAGCGTCCGAGCGAGGATGTATGGCGCGATAGGAGGGTAGCAGACAGCTGGTAGAGTATGGGGAGATAGGAGGGTGGCAGACTGCTGGTAGAGAGTATGGCGCGATAGGAGGGTATCCAGCTGTCTGCTACCCTCCTATCGCGCCATACTCTCC